TTGCCAATATGCCTACAAAATGAGACGAACTAAATGAGTCCGGTCATTTGTTTACTCAAAAAACAAAATTAACCGCCGATTTTAGCGTTTTTTTTACTGTTTTTGCTTCTAAGAAATCGTACCTACTAAAACTCTTTGTAAAGGTCTTTGTTCGCATTATAAGTGGTATCAATTAAAATATTCATATCTTTTCGTACATTTCTATTTGTTATTTAAAAAAGGCTGTTGCCAGATTTTTTTGAGACGTCGGAGAGACTTCTCTGAGGGTCTATTTTACTCGTAAAGAGTTATACTACACTGTACAATAAAATAAATGTAAAATATTATGGTAAGTTGTTCGGAAGGATGTCGGAATATTGGGATAATAGTTTGCACGCGATTTCTGGCTGGAGAACATTGTTTCAATAATCAAAGAAAATGCGGAAAGCCGTTTTTGGCGCATAACTTGAACCGTTGATGCTTTGACAAAAAGTGTAATACATTTTTAAGTATTAAAAATATCTACAAAATGAGACAAACTAAGTTAAAATCCGTATATTTAGTTACTCAAAAAAAAACACAAAAAATCCGCCAAATTTTGCTTCCAAAAAATAGTACTATAACTTTTTTGAAGGCCTTTGTACACTTTAAAAGTGGTATACATTTTAGCGTAAAATATTCATAACTTTTTGTTATACCACAATAGATCATGCCAGATTCTAAATAAGTTTTTTTTGAGACGTCGGAAAGACTTCTCTGAGGTTGTATTTTACTCGTAAACAGTTATACTCCACTCTACAATAAAAGAAATGTAAAAGATTATTGGAAGTTGTTCAGAAGGATGTCGGAATATTGGGATAATAGTTTGCACGCTATTTCCGGCTGGAGAACATTGTTTCAATAATCAAAGAAAGTGCGGAAAGCCGTTCTTGGCGCATAACTTTTGAACCGTTGATGCTTTGACAAAAAGTGTAATACATTTTTAAGTATTAAAAATATCTACAAAATGAGACAAACTAAGTTAAAATCCGTTCATTTA